GGAGTTTGTGTTGCATGTGGCACAAATCGAATCATTGTTTCGATTCCTCCGCCCCTCTTGGAGAGCCCGGCAAGCTACCAAGAGTATCTTGCCCGTACGGCAAAGCCTGGCAAGCTCCCTGTGATATATTGGACATGCCAAAACACAGTAACAAGTCTCACAATGGAGACGTTACTGGGCCCACTCGAGCAAATTGATGAACAACGGAAGGACAGTGCTACAGTTTTCTCATTGGATTGTACTAAATATTTAAAAAATAAGTATTTTAATGCAATTATAGACCTATTTGTATTTATGTTATAGAGAGACAGAGGCTGTTTGCTCTCATCTCTTGTATTCTTATCTCTCTCAAAAATTTCAAAGATAAAAAAGATCAAAGATCAAAGGGATGAGTATGGGCTCCAAGACTCAGGATGTTTGTTCTAAAGCTTTTTTTTTTCAATAATCAAAACAAAAGTGAAAGAATAGCATAGATTATAATCTACAACTAAAAAGTCCCTCTTATATTTCTAAGTCAATACTTATAAATTTGACTAATTTTTCAAAATTACCAGCAACTATTGTTTTCAAAATATCTACATATAGAAATGTAACTGTAGGATGGTGAAGACCTACAGTCACTATCTGAAGTCTACAATTGATATTTTGCCATATTTATCACCTGTATCTATCTATCAATCTATCTATGCTTTTCTATTCATCAATATAGTATTTTTGATATTTTCCAATTATAAAGTCATAGTTTATTAAAATATGAATTATAGCGTGAGGTTTATTTTTTCATTTCTCTACAGATAGGTATTCTACTTTTTGGTGATTTCAATGCTAAAATGAGCATTCTTGTATTTATATTTATAACTAAGTATATGCTTTAATTATGCTTTTACTTTAGCGAAATAAATTGCTGAAATGAAATGATAATTTTAAAGGATATACCGCATTTAGAAGATGTGGTTTGATCACTTTCCTCTATACTACCACTTTCAGAGTTTGGGGTGACCTGTGTTTCTCTTATTTTAACTAATTAGAGCTAAAAATGTGGACTTAACATAAACACAGAATTCCCAGTATGCATGCTTGATGAAAACAATGTCTATCTCCCCCACTCCCCCCACCTTGTTCCTAGTGTTTAAAATTTACTACTATCTGTTGAAATTACTCATCCAATTAATTCCAACTCAAAGGGTACCAGATGCATACTGTCTTTCTGAATTTTCTGGTAGTATTTCTGCCTCCTCATCTTCTCAACACTACGTGGTGTGTGTGTGTGTGTGTGTGTGTGTGTGTGTGTGTGTGTGTGTATGTAAGAGAGAGAGAGAGAGTTTGTATGGCCTCCACAATCCCTACTGTGTATTGTGCCTTCTCCAAGTGCTGTGTGTGTGTGTTTGTGCGTGTAAGGGTGCATATGTGTGTTCTTACGTGTGTGTGTGTGTGTGTAAGGGTGTATATGTGCATTCTTGCACATGTGCATCACAGAGCCAGGCTGAATAGACATACATCCCATTCTACCTTTGAAACCTCTATTTGCCTAGCAAAATCATTTGTACACAATAAATATTTTTTATTGAATGAATTAAAGAACTCCAGAAAATCATAAAGGTAAAGGCCCTCCCGTTGATTGTCGATTTGCTCGAGCGGGCCCAGTAACGTCTCCATTGGAGACTTTGTTGTTACTGTTCGAATACTCTCGGTAGCTTGCCGGGCTCTCCGAGAGGGGCGGAGGAATCGAACTCGGGTCGGCCATGTTGGTCGCTTGTAAGGCGAACGCCCTACCCGCTGTGCTATCACTCCAGCCCCCAGAAAATCATACAGTGGCCAAATACTGGGAGTCTTTGGATGTCAGGCCCAAGAGCCTGTAGTACAATTAGTATCTGTTCAGAATCCATAGAAAATTGGTTGAGGTTGGGAAAGAAAAGACTAGAGCTAAGGCAGGGAAACAGTAAAGATGCTCAGATTAGACCTAGGAAGGAAACAGAACAGACACATAAACAATTCTTGGGGGGTTGAAGACCTAGTGTTAGTGTAGTTGCCTTAGGATAGTTGTAGTAATCCTGAGCTTCTGCAATATTTTGCTCTATTTTAATATTTTTGCTTATGGTAGAAAAATTAGAAAATCTAGATGAACAAGATATTAATTCTCAATAAAATTTTGTCATACTGGTAATAATCACCAGTCATGATAAATGTGATATAGATATTTTCATACCTTTTTCTATGCATATGTATATAAAATGTTTTAATATATAATGAAAATATATAATTTTCTTTGCATGTTAAATGTTTGTCATATGAACTTTTATGTGAGTAGATACCATTTATCTTCAACATGAATCTTTTGAGAACCAGGAAAAGAATAAATATCCACCATAAGTATTAAATGAGCACAAGAATTATAATTGTTAAATAATCTTATGTGGAGATTTTAATACTTACTAATTCATAAGGCAAATAAAGATAATCTGCTGTAAGATCTCTATATCCAATGTTCTTATTTTTGCTTTATCTTATTACCACTCAAAGAAATAAGAATTTAAAATATGCCAATAAGGCTCCTTGAGATGCTTAATTGATGAGAACAATATTTAGATATCTTCTTAAGCAGTGACTTATAAACATGGCACTGATTTACAGTAAATTAATCATCTTTAAAACATTGGGACATCTGACCAAGAGGACTATTTACCAAGCAAATGTCACCTTCTTCCCTTCCCAGATTGTAGAGGCAAGAAAAGCAAACTAATGCTGAGAATGTTAATTTATTTGACAATCGGATCTTTAATTCATTTAGGGAATCTCTCAGCATGTGCAGCTTTGTAAACTCAGCACCTGTGCTGGCGTCCACTGTGCCTGGCACAAAACAGATGAGCAACAGGCATTTTTCAAATAAGCAAACAGGTTGTAAGGAGCATAAATACATTAATCATATTCTTTATTTAATATTCCTTTGCCAAGTGATGCAGATAATTAATAATCATTAGCCACTTCTTTGCTACCCATAATAACTGTGTGTAGTTTTGCATAGGAGAAGAATACATTTGCTGGAAAAATAAATTAAGCAGTATTTTTTTCCTTTCTTCACAGTTCTGACTTCACTCTGTGATAAACAGTGAAGCAGAATCACTGAATTTTATCTCCATCCTCATAAAGGAAAGGACCATAGGAAAGGGAAGTCATAAATATTGTTCATTCCCAGGGGCAAGGGGTACGTGTAACTGCGTAAAGGTGAGGCTCATCTGTGTACATCTTTCAAAGACGAGCCTGGTTCCCTAGGTCAAAGGCTACTGTAATGAGCACACTCTTCCAGTAGATGGCACAATTTCCTTCTTCAGCGATTTGAAGATTTGCCTCAAGGCTGGTTTTTTGGGTTTAGTTTTACTATTCCTATAGTAAACTTAAGGCGACAATAAATAAGTCAATGAAACTGATGTTTACCTCTCTTTATAAAAAAAGAAAAGTAGGGGCTTTCAAAAGCTTTTCAAAAGCTCCCGATGGGGATTCTTATTCTTTGGCTGTAGTTGATAGCAAGGTCTACTGGGGCATTGTGTTCCAACTCTACTTTCACTTAGTGCTGGAAGTTAAAACGATCAAATCGTTGGTAACAATGTCCTGGAAAAAGTCGCGTGTCAAGCTTTTCTGCCAATTGTAGTAAAACAAAGCAAGCAAAAAATATTAACCAGCATTCTTTTCTAAATAGGGTAAAATATTCATTAAGTTATGCACATGCTTTTCCTGACTGTCTAATAACGTACCTAACAAAAATATTCGCACACCCCATTTTAAAGGTAACACCTACTTTTTTTGCAGCTCTGTAAGACCTTTCAATACCTCAACAGCTGGTTAGGTGCACATGTCTGACACGAACGAGGCGGTGGAACTGGAAGGAAGAAACGGTACAGATTCCAGGGACATATGCTTGAATGGAAAGACGGTGTGTGTAATTAGTGGAATATCTCAGATCCTGTGCTTTATACCTTCAAAATTACGGTATTAGCGAGAGTGATGGATAGAGGCCGGTCTAAAAAAAAAAGCATGTTATTTCGCAGATTTCTCAGCAAACTGTTATTAACAGAGCCTGTTCAGTGGAGAAAATATTCGAGGTCATTAAGTTCTCCTGAGACTCTTCAACTCAGGTAGCAGGGGCCGCGATGTGGAGGTTTGGGGGATTTTCAGCCAAATCTTCTCCGACCAAAGCTCAGGTCTCCACCCATCCCTCTCCTGCCGCTGCTCAAGTTGCCCCGCAGCCCGGGCCTGCCTCGGCCCTGCGAGTCCCACGTGCAGGTACAGGCGGCGGGGCCCGGCGACCCGGCGTGCTGACAGGTGGCCTCGCCCTCCTCCGGCCGCGCAGGGCAGCGCTCGCCTTGGCTCCAGACCCGCAGCCCAGTGCGCGCGGCGCCAGGCACAGTCCCCCCCGAGGTCAGCCCAGAAGTTGGGCGCCGTGACCCGGGCACAGCGACCACCGAGAGGGGCGCGGAGCGAGCAAATCCGGAACCCGGCCTGGGCGAGGGGTGGGTGAGCCGGACAGGCAGTGTTCCAGCTCCCGGGACAACAAGCGCTGCAGAGCGCCGGGCGTCCAGGCACCCTCCGCCACTCTCCGTGTCCACGCGCCTGTCCTCCAGCAGCCGTGACCCCTTCCCCCACCCCCCCTTACCCCCACGTCCCCGCTCCGTAACGGACCCACTCCCAGAGCGCAGCCGGACGGAGGGGTCACCCGAGTCGGCGAACCCCATTCCCAAGGACGAGCAGCCGACGGCAGCGCCGCCCCTGGTCAAGCGCCCTGCGGGTCCACTCGGGCCCGCGCGCTGGAGGCCCCCTTCCAAAACACGCCAGCGGTGGCCGCAAGGAATCCACTCGGACCCCTCCCCTTCCCCAAACTTCTTCCCTCCGCCCCGCCGTTCCTCTGCGCCATCCGGCCCCTCCCTCCCCGACCCCCTCCCCTGTCTGGTCCCCACTTAGGAATCCGCCCCCTCCCCCCTCGGCCGCCGCGGGCCGGGCCCGGGGATCCTCCCCCTGACTCCCCCCCAGCGTGCCGCCGCCGCCCGGGTTCCTCTCCCCCCCGCTCCGGCGCTCCCTGCCAAGCCCATGATGTAATGGTGTATGTTAATCAGTAGCATGTGGGGAGCTCCGGCTCTGGCGGCTCAGTCCTCCGCCAGCCGACACCGGAGGCGGCAGCAGCGGCGGCACCCGCGACCCCGACCCGCAGCGCCGCACTCTCCCCGCGCCGCCCGCCCCGACAGCATGGCCCGCGGCCCGCGCTCCGGCCGTCCGCAGCCTCGCTGAGAGCCGCCGCGGTCGTGGGGCCGCGCGTGGGACCCCCGAGCCGCGGGGATGAGCCGCATCGAGGTGAGCGGGGGGCGGGGGGGTCCCTTCTTCCTTCCTAGGGTTGGCCACCGGGTTCTCTCTCCCGGGGAACCCTCCCCCCTCCGTTTGGAGAAGTTCTGGGAGCTGGGAAGCGCGATGCTGGGAGAGAGCCGGCCCCCTCGAGGGCTGAGCTACTGGGCTCTGCTCTCGGCACCGGGATGGGGACTGGGGTATGTGTGTTGGGGGGGGAGCTCCCGAAGCCGAACTTTCTTTTTTGGCGGTCGTTGGGGGGCGTGTGCCGCCGGCGGCGCTGAGCCGCAGTCCCGGAGGAACCGCCCTGCTGGGGGGTGTGTGGGGGCGCAGCGCGGCGGACTCGGGCTGGTCCCGCGTGCGGCGTGCGCCCGGGGCCGCGCCGCCTTCGGCCTGGAACTCGTCGGGCCGGGCAGACGCGGCAGCGGAGGCAGGATGTGTGAAGCTTACACGCGTGTCCACACACACACACACGCACACGCACACGCACACCAGCACCCGCACCCGCGCGCACTACACCCCGTCGCTCTGGGCAGGCCCTAGGAGACTACCGGGTGGTCTGCGTGGCACTGCGCGGTGCGGGGGAGCCGGGGCTCCGGCAGCGCCTCCGCCCGCCGAGCTCCGAGCTTTGGGTGGGGAGAGTTTATTTTTGTCTCGAGCTGCTGCCGCGGCTGCTCACGGCCTAAATCCAGAGGGGCGCCTGGCGGTGGAGATGCTGGCTGTTGCTGTAGATGGAGCTGCAGCCACTCGGCTGCTTCTCCGGGAGGAGGAGGAGGAGGAGGAGGAGGAGGAGGACGAGGAGGAGGAGGAGGAGGTGGAGGTGGAGGAGAAGGAGGAGGGGGAGGTGGTGATGGTGGTGGAGGAGGAGGAGGAGGAGGTGGAGGAGGAGGAGGAGGAGGAGGAGGAGGAGGAGGAAGGAACTCGCGCTGCTGCCGCCTCCGCCTCTGCTTTGCATTAGACCCCCACCCCCCACCCCTGCGCCCCTTCGCAGCCGCATTGCAAGTTTTCTGCGCGAGGAAAATCTGTTGCTGGTGTTGGTGTACGCAGGCACAGCCCCCGAGGCCACCCCGGGTGGGGCGTTTGGGGGAGCACCAGCCCTTCCTGGCGGTAGCAACAGGAAGCCGTGGGGGGTGTCTCCTAGCATACCTGAGAGAGAAGGCTTCTTGCCATCTCCATAACGGCAACTAAGCTCATCTTCCGCATCTGAGCGCGGAGGGGCGGCCGGGATTTGGGGGGGGGGGTCCCTCCTCCCCCCCATGCACTCGTTTCCAGGGTGCGCTTCCTCCCTGGCCGAGGTCTCACTGCAGCCCTTTCTCTCCTTCCAGTGGTGATCGCCGCTCGGGAATGCGGGCGTGAAGGGTCCGAGCTGCCGCCCAGCGGGGAAAGAGACCCCGGGACGCCGGAAATCACCATCCCGAAGCTGCGAGAAGGGAGGGGGCAAGAGACCAGTCTTCATCCAGTTTGTGTGCCTTGGGAGGATTTTTTTCCCCCTCTTCAGAATCATTATTATTTAAAAAATTAAGGAAAAAGAAAGAAAAGAAAAAGAAAAAAAAAGAAAGAAAAAAACATCACCGCGCTACTGCCCGTCTGCCTGTCACCATCTCGGGGCGCGCAGCTAGAAGCACCCGCACGTCTCTGAACCCCGGCGGAGAGGCGGGAGCCCAGGCGTACCTGCAGCGTCCGGGCGACAGAGCCACCTTGGAAGCTGATTGTGGCTCCGGCGGCCGCGAGGCTGCGGCTCCGCCAAACTTTGGGGCGGGCGGGGCGGACTGGGACAGCGAGGGGGCCTTGTAGACTGAGGGCCGCCCCCTAACCATGATGTTTCGCGACCAGGTCGGGGTGCTGGCCGGTTGGTTTAAGGGCTGGAACGAGTGCGAGCAGACTGTTGCGCTGCTGTCGCTGCTCAAGCGCGTGAGCCAGACCCAGGCCCGCTTCCTCCAGCTCTGCCTGGAGCACTCGCTGGCCGACTGCGCCGAGCTGCACGTCCTGGAAGGCGAGGCTAACAGCCCCGGTAAGTGCGCAGCCGCTGCTGTCCCGCCCGGTCCCCCTCCCCACCACCCTCTCCCCGAGGGGCCCCCTCCAGCATCCCCCTCCCCCAGCACCCCCTTTTCAAACCCTGCCTCCCAGCCCGGCCCGGGCACCGCCCCCGACGACGTTGCTCTGCTGGGACTCAAATCGAGCTGCCCCAGGCCCTTGGCATGCCAGCCCACCAGTGCCTCCCCCCTACTGTCACCCTCTAGCCCCCGCCGCCCACGTACCTCCGCTAGCTGCTTTGGGTCTTTGCCCACTGTCAGCTTCTTCCGTCCATTCCGTGTGGTAGCTACGGTAGCATGAATGATTGATTTTTCTCTCATGCAGTTTCCTGGGAAATAAGTAAGTCAGGTCACGTAGAGTCTGGATTTTCTGGGCTTTTTCCCCCGCCCTCCTCCTTTTGGGCAACGTGGCTCTCTGGATTTCAGCAACACACGAAGAAGCCCGGGACTGCCCTTCAGATGCCAAGCTTTGAGGAGGCTGTATGAGGAATATATGAACGTTCTATTGAATTCCAACTACCGCCCCCCCCCCCCCACACACACCTCCCTGTGGTTATTCCCGTGTTTTTTTTTTTTTCCCCAGAGCTCTTTCAGAATACTATGTAGGTGATGCTACAGACTATTAAAATGTTTGCAGTGGGTTCGCTGGGTGATTGTGAAGCCAGTAATGATGCGGTCTGTGGCTGGCATTTGGAGAAGGGAGAATTCCGGGACCCTGGATGCTTTTTGTTAGGAAACTTTACTGTCTATAACAACTGCTTCTTGTTACCCCAAGACTCCTTGCTAACGGTAGTAAAAAGTGAAGACACTGACAGACAGGCTCAGCAGTTTGTTGGGAGTGTGGTGGTGATGGGGTGAAAGCCTGAGAGGCTAGCCGCGAGGCTGAAGGAGGGGTCTGTAGGTTGTGATTTTGGAAAGGGGAGGTTCTTTCCTTGGTGCTGCTGCAGCAGGCATGAACAGAGCGCCCACTGTTCAGGCAGAGGAAGAATGTAGGGTCCTCCCCCAGCTGTTCCCGGGTAGCTGCTCCTCCACCCCACACCCAAGGCTTCAGGATTCAGCAGGGGTCTTTGGATGACAAGGTTCAATCCAAGGCAGGCAGGCCTGGGAGACCTATGAGTCAGTGGGCCTGCCCTGAGCAAGAAGAGGGCTGGCCTCCACCTCACTCCTCCCTGGCAGCGGTGCTCAAGAGGCCCAAAACACTGGGATGGGATGTTTCCATATATAGAATCCCAGGCTGGAAGTGACCGCTGGAAATCCTCGCATTCCATTTCCTGACCAGACGAAACTGCACCCAGAGGATCTTAAGCTGCCAAGTATGGAGGGCCACTGGGGGAGAGTCTGCAGGCCCGCCTACCCCTACACCCTCCCCCCACTCCCGGAATTCAGCTTGAGCCCAACTGTCTGGACCCGGTGCTCATAGGGTGCATGTGGCAGGGCCCCCTTCTGTTCAGTTCCGTGTTTATAAATAGTCGGAGGACCAGGCAGCAGAGATAGGAGCACCACGACTCTCTCCCTCTTCCCTCCTCAGTGTGGCTGGGTAGCCTGTCCACCTGCTGGCTTTCACTTCCTTAGGTTTGACAAACAAGGTTACATAAACTGTGTTTCATACAGTGCGAAGGGCTTATGTGCTCCCTGGTAATGTATCTTGAATGCTCGACTCCTGTGTATATACAGGAACTGTTAAGAATGATGACAATTCATCTTTAGGTTGCATTAATGTTAGAGCAACATTTTTTCCCATATGAGTAAGAGAGATGCCTTTCCCCAGTAGAGCAGCAGTCAGTTTTAAGAAGTGGAGTAATTACGTGTGTGACATTAAAGAGAGGTGCTTCGTTGAAAAAACCTGTCATTGAATCAGGCAAGAAAAAGTTGAGTTGTGAATTTTCAAACATCATTTCTTTGGGGGGGAGGGCGCTAAGCTTCTTGGTTGAAAACCTTACCTGTTCATGCTGTGAAATATGCACAAGAATGATGTGGAGAGCCATTATGTAAAATAAGGGACCGTCTCCCAGACTCTGACTAATCTTCCAACCTGGACATTTTGCTTGGAACCTTGGAAACTGTTCTTCTTGCTCTATTGTGTCACCAGGACAAAAACTGATTAGTGAGGTTGGGAATGATTCACTTCTGTTGTGTGTGAGGGAGTGGGAAGGAGGGGGCTGCTTTTAAGATCATCAAGCGATGGTTGGGTCCTGCATCCTGTGGGGCTAACCTGAGGTTTTCTTCCATGTCTGGGCAAGAACCAAAAAGGAAAAAAAATTCCCATTCAGCAACAAGAATAGAGAGTAGAAAAGCTGGGAGAATACATTAGCCTCTATATCAGAACATGCATTTAATTTAGACTAAACTCCTAACTTAAAAAAAAATAGGCTCTTTGGGTCACATCGGCGATGCTCAGGGGTTACACCTCATTCTGCACTCAGGAATTACTCCTGGCATTGCTTGGGGAACATATGGGATGCCGGGGATCGAGCCCAGGTCGGCCGTGTGCAAGGCTAATGCTCTACCTGCTGTACTATTGCTACAGCCCCACTTTTCTTTTTCCTTTTTTCTTTTTTGATTGAGGTTGCTGTAACAAACAGGGAAAAGTGACCATTGACAACTTGGAAGCCAGGAGACAGGAAATGATAACTTTAGACACAGGAATTGGCAGCAATAACCCTTGGCTTGGGAGTATTAGGGAAGGAACCCTCAATCAACTCAGTACATGGTTCTGTACTAAATCTATAGTCCCTATTTGCAATACATTAACATGAAATGTTTTTTTTAAGAATATATTCTAAAATAGTTTTTGAAGAGAGAAATAGACAATGTATTTTGGAAATGTTGACAGTCAAGCTAATTAATGTCCCAAAACTGTTTTGGTGTGTAGAGCACGTACCCATTCAGAAAACTAGGCTGTGTAGAATGACTCATTCATTGGCTAGGGTTTCCTACACCAAAATCATCATGTATTTCATTTATTTTGCAATTATCAATTAAGCAAATATTTATCCTGGTGTTGAGAGATTTTAGGACTGGTGAATGAACCAAATTCATGTCTAGAGCATGATCTCAGTATAACAAAGAAAACAAAACTAGGGGTAGTATGAACTTGGCTTTTCAAAAGAACTGATTTTAGACAGGGAGAAGATCCTGCATGTTAAATGTGGTTAATTTGAGATCTGTGAGATGTATTTTGAGACCAACTTATTTCCCTTGAATTTAGATTTATTGAGAATCTAATGGTTCACTGGTTCGTTCTCAGGTTCAGCAGAAGAAATGGTTTCACCCATGCCTGTAATCTCTGAGCACTGCAGGAGCTAGTTTCCAGATCCTCATAAGCTTATATAAATGCCCATCAGCTCTAGTCCAGGTTAACTTGGAGGCCTATAGCCAGCCTCAGTTTGGAGATGTCTGTTTCTGGGACTGACAAGTCATTCAACACCTGCAAATGGCAAAAATGGAACCCACTGATTTTACTTGCAACTCTCTCTCTCTCAAAAAAAGGCCTCTATATCTTTATTTGTCATTTGGATTTCAAATATATTTTCCAGTGGAAGTAATGTGATAAATGGAAGTTCAAAAATTAATTCACTGAGATTTATTTATTTACAAAGCTGTGCATAGTTTTGTTTAGTTTGTTTTGGGGTCACACCTGGTGGTGCTCAGAACTTACTCCTGACTCTGTGCTCAGGGTCACCTCTAGCAGTGTTTGGGGTACTATAGGAAGTACTGGGGATCAAAGTTAGTTTAGCTGCATGCAACTCAAGTACCTTAACTGCTGTTTTATATCTCTGACCCCAGCCATGCATATTTTTGTGGGAGTAATTGTTTATGTTTGTAGTAAATAAATGATGAAAAGAGTTACTTTGCTTGCAGTTAAATATAAGTGGAGAGGATAATCTAAGATAATGGTGGACAAAGGTAGTGATATTATCTAAGAGTGGTCAGACTGGAAAGGAATGTGGATGTGTTTACTGTCATTAGAGAGGGTAAAAATGCCAGTTCTATGATTTATATGGATTTTCATTTCCATAATACAGGTTTACCATGCTCTGAGTTGACTTTTTTGTGATATAGTAAAAGGAAAGTAGAACTCATCTGTTTATTCTGATGATATCCAGTAAGATCTTATTTGGAATTTATCTTATATTTATTCATTCAGCAAACTTTTTCTTTACTAAATGTTTGTGTGCTTTACTAATGAGCGCTTTACTTATGTTCCTGGCCCCTTAGTGGAAATGCAAGGGTAGTTAATTAAATTTCAGTGCTTGACACATGCTAAATGTTGAAGTAACTAACACTTTATCAGAGGTACTGAAGCCTAGCTATGGAAATAGTATGTTGGGAAAGTGGGGTTCTAAGGGCATTGTAAAGCAAGAAGCTGCTTGCTTGGCAGGGGGGGGGGTCAGAGAAAACTTTACTAAGGAGAAGTTATGTTTTAGTTGAAGTGTTTTTTTAAAAAAGAAAAATGAGTGGGTGGGGGAGGGGACTTTCCAGCAGTGCTCAGAGTGCTCGGGGGTCACTTAGTAACTCTCCATTAACTGGTCATACGATTAAATGTCAGTGTTGGAGAATTCTGTGTTGCTTAGTCTGGCCCTGAAGTAATCGTTGGGTCCTGCGTCCTGTGGGGCCCAGAGCATTCAATTGAGTTTTAAAGAGTGAATAGGAGTTCATTATATTAAAAGAACAGGTATGAGGGCATGTTCCTAAGAGAAGAATTACATTTATACAAATGCCTTATGAATAGACCTGGTTATATGCAGGAAATAGTTCTGAGTAGCTAGAAGGTTGCAGAATCACTGTATGAGAAGTAAGTTAAAACAGATGCTGTTTGGGCTGGATGGATAGTACAGTGTGTAGGGTGCTTGCTTTGCCTGCTGCTGAGCCGGATATGATCACCAGCATCCTTTCTGGGCCCCTGAGCATGCCAGGAGTGATGCCTGAGTGCAGAGCCAGGAGTAAGCCCTGAGCACTGCTGGGTCTGGCCCAAAAG